AGATGAAATCGATGGAAATCTATCAAGACCGCAGATCGGTATTAACCCTTTGCACTCGACCTCTCAGTCGCCATTTAATCGGATTCTAAAGACGAATGTTAATTAACATATCAAATTTACAATTACCCGAAGATGCATGGAATATCGAAGTAAAATAATTCTACGTCTTAAATTGCATGCGATTTCTTATTTATTGCATATTTCTTATGGCAGAAAGTCTTCGAATTACTATTTTCGAAAAGATCACCGAATGCAAAGGGTTAATCCTCGATGAAATCCGGGCCCAAACAGACCATACTACTGTTATGGAAGTAAACTCTAATTCCTTGTCCTCTTATAAATATTATAAATATATTATATTTTATAATAAACGAGTTTCAAAACTATATTTAGAAAAATGTTCTGTTCACGTGTCTGACTCGTGATATTCACGTTTGGCCCGACTGCCTGTCCACGAGTGTGGCACGTGATATTCACGTTTGGCCCGACTACCTGTCCACGAATGTGGCACGTGATATTCACGTATGGACCAAAATCTCCATCACGAGTGAGACTCGTGAAACTACGGGAAGGGGTTAAAATGAGGATTCGTAAGCGGAGAGGATACGTATGTAAATAGCGGACGAAGAGGTTGCTCGCAGGAATAAGGTCGATTCATTAGCCACGAAATCGAGAGCAACCGAGGCGTCGTTCGTTCAATTGAGCCACTAGGACGTTTTCTAATTGGCCATGTCGAGATAATCGTCTTATCGAATTGGTTATCGGAATGACGGGTTAATTACGCGGGGTGCCTCGTGGCAACGCATTCAGAGAGCCGATCTCAGCGTCGAGGATCCTCCGCTATTGACGCTGGCGTCTGTTTCGCGTTATCTACGAGATCGTTAAAAAGCTTAATGCTCGTTTCATTTCTGCGCAGCCTGTGAACGCCCGGCTCGCTCTTCGGAATCTACGTATAAGTAGAAAATAGGCCACCTTTATAGGCACTTAAAGTTATTTCCAGAATCCTAACGAGCAAGAGTTGGCGAGTGCGAATAGTCGATTTCGAGGGAACTCATACACCACGATTCTTGGAAACTACGCTCCTGCTTTGTTAGTTTAGACCGTGCGGTTTCTCCAAGGATCCGATAATTTTCCCGAATGGGGGGTATCCGAACACACGGTGTATTCGCTACTGCGTGTGACAAATGGACGAAGGAAGCAGGCTGACAATTGTATTTGTTAAGGTGTTATAATTTAAGGAAATAGTGGAAAAACTATATAGATGTTTATTAACCCTTTGCGCTCCACGATTTTTGGCTAAAGAAGAGTAAAAGTTTGAAGATTTTCTGCTATAATGTGGACGATACTTTCTTGAGCAGTAAATAAGGAATAGTATAATAGTTGACACGTAGAATTATTTGATTTCGATACTTCGCACGCCGTTGCTTTATCTTAAATTTCACATATTAATTAATACCGATCTTCGAAATTTTATTTAATGGCGACTGCAGGGCGCCTGTCGAGTGCGAAGGGTTAACACTATAGCATCCAGTGACACCATGTTGGTGTCATGCGAAAACTATCGGGCAAATCCCGGTGACTCCACGTTGGTATCACGCGAAAATGACGAGTTAGTCCTACCGACCCCAAATGAAAGAATCCTGATTAGACGCGTGGACGACATAGTGTTAAATAAACGAATGGACAGAACTATTTAGACCCACGCAGGTCAAAGATGTTAAAAACACAGTTTCCAACCACAAAACAATAACACTGCGATTCTAAAAATCCAACACTACTTACAACCTAATCCAGTATTACTTCATCCACCATCAAAAATCAGAATAATCCAAATCTGCTACCATGTTTGACCAAGCAAAAGTTCTCATAAGAGACAAAACGCAAGGGAAAGGATTACCTCCACATCGATAGGATGTAGAGTTTCCTTTAGTATTTAATTTCTACTACAACAATATTAACCCTTTGCACTCGACAATTTTTTGGCTAGGGAAGAGTAGAAATTCAAAGATTCTCTACTAAAAAACTGACGATACCTTTTTGAGCAGTAAATAAAGAATTGTATAATAAGAGAATTGTAGAATTATTTAATTTCGATACCTCGCACACTGTTACATTACATTAAATTTGATATACTAATTAATATCGATCTTGCAAATTTTATGAAATGGTGATTGAAGCTCACCTCTCGAGTGCAAAGGGTTAAAATTATATTTTCTACGAAGACTTGGAACCGGATGAACGCCCCTCTCCATTATTATTTCCAGACAATTTTGGAATCGGTCAAAAATCGTGCCCGAATTTCGCGTTACTATATTGTTCAGAGTTTTACAATATGTTTCACTTACGGAACTCTCTGTGGCTTCTGTAGGCGATGTTTGAAGAGACTGCCATAGTTAGAGGACATTGCAACTGGCACGTTGCTAACACTTAATATGTACTAGCTACGAGACGGTTAATCGAAGAATGTCGAAGGACGTGGAACATTCTCGAGGAAGAGGAGCGTTAATAACATAACGTCTTAAATATTTCTGCCTGCGGCACTCTGTGGTTCCCACGGGTAGGCGACACGCGGCGACTGGTATGCGTAGAATTTCCGGTTGTTTACGTTCTAGGATTAACTCGCTACGCCTACTGGTGATAAGACGGTTAGTCGAAGGCCGTCGAAGCATGTCGAACCTTCTCGAGGAAGAGGACCGACAATAACACAACGACGTTTCCCATACTTTCGGTTGACGCAGCTCTCTGTCGCTCCCGCGGGCAATGTTCTGAACGACCGTCGCACAGGTAGGCGACACGTGGCGACTGGTACCGCGCAGAGTTTCCGAGCGTTTACGTTTCGGGATTAACTCGCTTAAGAGTATCGGCAGGCAGTTGGTCGAAGGCGGCCGAACCTTCTAGTGCTACAGTAGTTCAGTGTAGTGTGGAATAGTGATATCCCTTACGGAGGAACGTGTTTCAACCCGGATACAGCATTCTTCCACGACCAGTGCACACCGCGAAGCCTACGTCGCATCTACAGGTAGGAAATAAAATTAATTAAGTAGAAATAAACACCGTTCAGTCCCGAGGCTCGTGCAATCGCGCACTGTCTCCGGTATCGCGAAAATAAATCTGCGAAACACTTCGCGAAGGGGTAAAAAATAGTCGCGACGCGTCTCTCGATGGACTTTTCGCGTCGCTTGAATTTTTCCACGGGCGTACAATTAATTCCCGATAATTCGAGGAATATCGGTAATTAAAGGAATTGCAATTTGCCGGAACGGCCGGGCGAACGGCGGCTGTATGCCGCGCCGGATCGATACGCTCGTTGAAATCAATTCCGCGCCGCGATAATCGTCGTTCCGTGGCCCGATAATCGCCTAACCGTCGCGGCTATTCCTTTTTGTTGCTCGCTCGATCGATTTCGCGCGGAGCGATCCGAAGGTGGATCGTAACGCGGAACGAGGAGCAGTGGTTTACGAGGAAACCGCGTTCCGCGTATGCGCGATCCGCGCGAGTCGTTTCGATTTCACGCACGGACACGCCGCGGCGATCCGCTGCGTGCGGCGCGAGTCGTTGCCGGCTTATCGATGCCGAGCCACCCTCGATCGTCTAACGAATTCGATTCACGGAGCAGCTACACACCCGGGACGCGCCGCGTTTCTAGATGACGCGCTGTTTCGCGCGACATATTTGTTGCTCGGCTCGTTTTGAAATATGAACCGGGATATTTGGATGATTTATCGACGAGGAGGCGGCCGAGGAGGCGCTCGTTCGGCTGTCCGCGTGTGGATTTTAGATAATGAATTGCTGCGTATGAATGCCGGTTAATGCGTGGCGCATAATGTATCGTGCATTATGCGTTGCACTTAATGAATAGTATATGACGAATTCTGGATACGTGGCGATACACCGTGCACGCTCGATTATTCAGCATCCACGGTGCAAAATGCAAAGTGCAAAGTGCACACAGTGCGGGATACATTGTGCGTGTTGCACGGTGTGCGTGCTGCATTATGCAGGCTGTATGGTGCAGGGTGCACCGTGCAGGCTGTATTGTGCGGGCTGCATTGTGCATGGTGTGGAGACCATGGTGGATGGTGCAGGGTGTATCGCGCGGGGTCCACTGGATGGTGTAGAGGGTGTTGCATAGTGCGTGCTACGTTCTGCTGCACTGTTACGCGTACCTCAACTGTTACCAAGTGTGGTAGAAGCGTGCTCTTGACGCTCTATGCTACGATTTTAGTAGGGAAAATTAGGTATCCAAGAGATATTTAGTTTTAGCCATTGTACAGGGTGTCTCGTATGGATTCTATACACCGAAACCGAGAAGGTGCCAAGAGGCTACGAGACACCCTGTAAATATCTACTCTGCTCGCGATGAGGTTGTACAAAAATTTTGGCATTTGCAAATGATCGTGATGAGATAGGTTGGTGATTGCATCGTAGCATAGACATTAACCCTTATCGGTCGTAAGTCACCTCTCGTGTGACAACAGTACTTTGTCGCTGCGGTCACGTTGGAGTGATAAGACGGAAATCTTTCGCGTATTAACTGAAACCAGCTACAACCTAGTGAAAGTCACTAACAAAAAGCTAGGGTCCGATAAGGGTTGAGAATGTAATTAGGTATCGCGTGAGGAATTGCACGGATATATATGAACCGTGATTTACAACCCGAAAGACCTACAGGGATGCTCGAGCCACCTTTTGATTAATCTTTCAACAAGTGCACGTTCAGCCGGGATGAAAACGAGCTATTCGCGAGACCGCAGTCTTACACAGGGTCGCAACGGCAGGTGACGCCTCATAATTTGCATAAATTATTGCGTCGCATCGCTCGTTTATGCGCAATTATTTGTGTGCGAATTAGAACGCCATTCGTGGAGCCATTCCGTTGAAATTCCGGCATTACGTTGCCCACTATATTGTTAAACTACTATCCAGTAGCGGGGAGTTCCGTTGGATTTACTCTTGGCACGGTCATTAGTCGGCTGCATTTGCGTTTCCCTTGGGTTTTCTCGCGGTGGCGTTAGTTGGCGACTTAAAATTACGCGCTCGTCCCCGACGAAATACTCGAATTCCGTAAAACTGCGCTATTTTCCACGGAACTCGCAGTTGCGTCCCGGTTCCGGAAGATCCAAGAAATGGCGGCGCGTAACGCGATTGAAAGCGGAATCTAAAATCGATGGACAAAACGACGAGTCGGACCGTTCTCGCGAACAACCGGGCAAACAATTACGCGCAAACACCGGGAACAATCAAATTTTCTCGTTTCACAGTGGAGCAACTGCTCCAGAGGCGATCCGGTATTTCGAGAATAACCCGGTGTGTACAGACGGCACACGTGTTGCAGCTGCACATCGTCGCGACGCGAACCACGTCGAGCGGAAGACACGAGACGAGTACACCGATCGCAGGATTCGGGACCGTCGCGTTCGATAATTTCGAATTTAAAGTCGAACAGTGCCGATCCGAGGATAATTTACATTTTCGTTAATTCGCGATTCGAAACTTGAAATTCGCAACGTCAAAACACCAGGCTCGAAATTCGAAATTTTCAAGTTTAAATATCGAAACTACAAACTTGAAATCGTTTGCCACGGACCGGAAGTTTGCGCTGTGCGCGAGTCTCTTTTGAATTTCATGCATGGCAAATGTGACATCGCTGTGTCACGTATCCCTGAAACTCGCTTATTGTTCGTACCACCTGTACGATACTGCGATCTTTTTGCCCGTCCCCGTTTGGTCGACCCTGTGTACCGACCGAACTAACTGATATCCGCGTGGAATACATTACGCTTTGAAACCGTGGGCTAACAGTTGACGACGTTGGCTTTCGCATGCACGAAATTCTTTGTCACATGCCCGGTATTTTAACGATACACCGTGTCCATACACCTGTGAAACGTTTCGGCACGAACGTAGTCCTCGTCCCCCTTGCAGAATCAAAGGGCCACGTCAAATATTATCCATTATATACACCGGCAAATGCAAACCTTTCCACGTAATCGTTCCCAGGCTAACGCTCGTGTCCTCCAGTTTGCAACCCTCCTATTCGACAACCGTAACCGACACTAGTCACCCTCCCACCCTGCATCAATCTCAAAATACACGCTCATCAATCAGTTCTCTGCCGGAATCTCTCTCGATCCCGCGCTTCAATTTGCCCCGGGAAACCAGCCTGCTAAACCATCCGCCGCGACTTACTTTATCGCCTACGGTAATTAGCAGTCTGCCGTTCGCGGCCAATCGATACTGTCTCGGTTCCAGCTTATTTATTCGCCCGCGTAATCGGTCGGCCTCGTTAAGCCGGATATTCGCCGATTGAAAACGCCGCTACGCGCGCGCCTAGGTGTCTCGGAACTCTTGTCCCGGATTAATATCCGGCCGATTAGGGGTGGGCTCGCGATAAGTAGCGGCGCAGGTGTCGCCCGTCGATGACTGTTCGTGATCGGGATCGCGGTACATGCACCTTATCATCCCTGTACACTCGCGGCGCGGTAACATGCACGTTCTAATCTGGATTAGTCCGAGCTAGTCCGTCTTTGTGCGTGGAAACTGGGACGTCGGGGGTTGGCCAGGCCTCCGACAACCCCCTCCGGCCGACGACGCGTGCCCCTGCTCGTCGGTGTCCACGCACACACGCCGCCCTAATTGCGTCATTTTCGTGTAATCCAGTCCATTCCAGTAGGTTACGGGGCACGCTTCGAGGTACACGAGCCTATTTGCCCGGGACAAGATTGCTCGGGGGTTGGGCCGGATTTCAAGGTGAACCGGAACGTCGTTCGATGCTCGGGACAAACGACGAGTAATTTCTTATTCCGCTCGCCTAATTGCACCCGAGGTTTTGTTTCCGCTCGCGCAATTAGGGCTCGGGGGGATCTTAGGACTGGATTTGGCAGGGACAGAGAGGGATTCCGAGCTTTTGGACGATGATACAAGTTTTGGGATTCGGAATACGGGAAACGGAAAGCCTCGTGGAACTTACTTCTTGCTTCTGCAAGGCGGCTACATCTCCGCAGACGGGGCCCAAGCCGGTGAGTTCCGTGTCTTTCCTGATCACCCACTCGATCAGCTCGCGCAGAGACAACAGAAGAGCGTTCCAGTGTTCCGTATTGCTCTCCAATCGATTTCTGTGGAGAAGAAAAAAGAAATAATAGAATACAGGGAAATCGTGAAAATTGTTCGCTTCGAAAGAATTTCGGTGATATCGGAATGGAAACCCGAGACAAAAACACGCGACTCCGCAGGGTGGCGTCCATTAGGAGCGGAGTCGCGCAGACTGTGCGCGACTTACACGCCAGCTGTGAGAACGCATACGTCTGGCCGTAAATACTGATAAGGGATGGGTGGAGACGCGTCACGGGGCAAAGAAATATTTATTCTCCGGAGAAAGTGAAAGAGAGCGAGGAAATGAAAGAGGCCGGTGATGAATGAGGAGGAGAGGGACGCGCGCGTGGGTGGAATGCAAGAAAAGCGTAGAGAGGTTGCGACAGGAGTGGGCGATATTCAAGGTGAACTATGAGAATGAAAAAGAAGCAACGATGAATGGAAGGAACGAGAGAGACAGAGAGAGAGAGAGAGAGATCTCGAAAATGTCGTTCGGGAAGAAGAAGCAAGCCGGAAAGCGCGAGAGGAAACGCGATTAAGGGTAACGCGTGTAGGAGGCAGAGCGAGATGAAGGAATTATCCGTAAAAAGAGAGCTAATGCACCTGTTTACTTTGCACTGTAGCCCGAGACCAATCAAAAGTGAGAAACACTCGAGACAGATTTAACAAGGGGGAAAGAACGAGGGAAACTTATCGAATGGAAAAAGTTGCAGTCGAGCGGGGGACAGGAAGAAAAATGAACGTTGACATAAGTACCCGAGCAAGAAGGAGCAGAAGTAGAAGGGAGGAGAAAAAGAAGGAGAAGCGAGGAATAAAGTGGCGGTTATTGTAGTTGACGGAACGTAAGGGACGGGCGAAATAGGCGGCCGGAATGAATAAGAAGAGAATAAGGGGGGAATAAGAGGGGAATAAGAAGAGAAAGGAGGAAATAGAAGGGATTGAAAGGGGGCGAAGATCGAAGGATGAGAGAGGTAGGTGGCTGGAAAGAGCAGGGCAGGAAAGATGGCGCTCGGGATTTAGATTTATATTCCGCCATTGTTGTACCGTCGTCGACTGGAGCAGCCTCTCACACCCTTAACAACCAACTCCTGTCTTCTCATCCCCGTCGCGTACAACCCTCCTTTTCATCCACCAAAGCCGCGGACCCGTCGTCTGGTATCGCGAAGGAACAGACCCGCGGCCGGATATATTGCAGTTATTGTAACGTCGATGAAAGTCCTGCGGAATTCCGCGAGGTAGCTGTATACTTCCGGCGATCCGACCGTCTGTATGTACATATCTATGTACGTATATATGTATCACGTCGAAAGGTATTGTGCCTTCTTCTCCCGCGAGATAAGGATGCCGGGATATATCGTCCGGGCCGCGCTGAATACCCCTAAGAAGGATAGTTTCGACTGTGTTTTCCCTTTTCCCGTCCACCTAAGACGGATCGCGAACAGAAATTTGACCGATGCGAATTTATCTGAACGTTGAACAGGACGCCGCTGAAAAGCGGCCATTATTCCGAGATCGATGCTTTTAGTTTCTCCACGCCGGTTTTGCTCCTTTTGCCACTTTCAAGATGGAGCCCCGTCTTTATCGATATCGCGTTGATAGGATTTGTGTCCCGGACAAAGAGGTTTCTTGTTTGATCGGTTAAGTTAAGTCGGGGTTGAAACGCTCGGTGATCAATGGGGAGCAACCGTCGGTCGTTACAAAAAGAAATTCCACCGTTCCGGACTCGATAATTCCACGGATTATTACCTATCCAAACTTCGCTACCCATTTAAAGATTTCATCGACCACTCCGATATCAAACCGACCCATTTCCCGATCCTTCGTAAACAAACTAACCGCGTCATCGGTTCAGACGATTCCACGAACCCCGATCGCCGGGAGGCGGGAAGAATTCGCAAAAACTGGGGGTGTTGATTTTCTCCGGGCGATCCTTCCGCCGGAAACAAACAGCCGCTCGCTCCGGAGGATCGATAGCGACGATGTCGGCTGTTTAATCGACGCGGTCGCCGAACGATTAATTGCTCCAAGTTCGGTGCAGCCTGATTACCACGGGGTGCGAGCGAGAATCACGGGGATGAAAGAGGGAGGGCGCGAGATGGAGCGAGAAGACCGGAACGGGGGTTCGTAGTAACCCAGCAGCACGAACGTTCCTCAGGGTTAATGGAACATCAACGTAATCCGCGTTTGCGTTGGAACATTTCAGTCACGAAAAATAGTTTCGGGCAACGTCCATTTGCCCGTTCGTCTTACGACTGCCACGAACAGGAGGGACCTTTAACATAGATGGTATACTTCACGTTCGTGCGATCGCATTTCAATTGGACGGGTCCACGAACACCGGCCCGTGTCCCGTGGATATACCTTGAATACACTCCTTTTACTCGATCTTTGCGACGTACCGACCCTAATGTAACATAAATCACTAAGAAATTCTGCCGGCGAACAGCAGCCGGCAGGAAAACGTTTTCTATTCCGCTGCAAGCGAGCGGAATTCTTTCGGGAGGCCATCGCACGCGCGATAATTTACTTTCCCGTTCGACCCGTCGCGAAATATCGGCCACGCCGTCACGTCTGTGTATTTTCTCGCGTTACGGCCGATTCTATTATATTAACGTCCCGAGGAAAAAGGGGGGAAAAAAGGAAGAAAATATTTCCAGGTCTTTTCGCGAGCTTCGTTCTTGGTATATCGCACATGGTCGAAAATTCGTACGACACCGAGTCTGATCGGCTGTTCCCATCGAATCCTCGACTAGTCGGAGTCGAGGATCGCAAATCACGATGACAGAAATTCTAGAGACTGGAAAACAATTTCCAACAGATTTCCCGATTGCACCCGCTCTGCAAACCGGGGGAAATATCGACGCGGCCTGGAAATTTAAAAAGGACGACGGGGATAAAGAGTCGGATTGGATTAGGGAACTTGGAACGATAACGCGGCACGGGGCACGGAACTTTTGATTACGGCTCGATGTTGCGCGCGAGAGGACATTCGGAATAATTAAAACGACGAAACGGACGCGGCGGGTGGCAACAAAATGTCCTGGACGAGGCACGGACCGGCCATCAGACCGATTTCAGATAAGCCGGTGCACGCCATCGGGGGCGTCGAATTTTCATTTTTTTTTCCACCCCTGCCATCTCTTTTTCCCACCCTCGCCCCCCTCGCCGCCGACTTTCGCCCATTTCTCTCTCCCTTCTTTTTTTCTCGTGGAATCTCCAGTCGAGAGCGTCGCACACCTAATCTCCGGCATTAACGAGCTCTATTAAAAAAAATTTTTGTCACACGCGTTCCCCTAAATCTCCGCGTCGTGTTTCCACGAGAGGGGACACCGTTCATCCCCGTTGGGACCGAACGGAGAACCGGCTCGTGGAAAGACGAGGGTGACGAGAATTGAAAGAGGCGGATAATGGGAACTCGAATGAAAAATCGATGTACCCTTGGAAATTCCTCGTAGTTATTTGACACGTAGTTCGTTATTAACAACGTTCTTGCATGCGAGATGTCTCGCATACCCGGGCTTGAATATGGAGAGGCCGATGGAAGGAACTGGGACGAGTTCGTGCGACTTATATAGGCGACAATAGTCCACGGTTTAATAAGATCCAGCCACCTTCGGCCATGATTTTTTCTTAAATTATATTTTCATAAATGCAACTGCGTCGCGCGAGTATATTAACTGCCGCCTCGGCGGAAACGTGTTATATATTTTTGAAATTTAAATTGATTTCTTTCTCCCGCGGGTGGTTTTAGGAGGATTTAAAAAATGTAAATTGAGTCTGGAAATGTGGGAATTGGATTTTGAAATGTAGGTATCGCCGCATTGGTCTCGCGAGGGCAAAGCGTTTCACGGGAATAGATACACCTTCGTTAAAGTAATCTTTCGGTGGCAATTTAGATGGGGTGCAATTTAAGAATTTACAGAGGCCCTTGAATCCAATCAACTTTGGGAAAATACCTCGAGATACTCCGCGAAATGGGCAAACTCGTTTATGACGTTTCCCAAACACCTGTGGAAATTCACGAGATTTCGGAATAATTTACAATGCGAATTAAAAGTTTGCGCAGATTCCATCCGTTATATCGCTCGCAGCTTAAGTCAAGCTCTCGAGTGTTCGCATAACGGCAGCAATGAATTTAAAAAGGAAAAGAAAAGGTGAAAAGAAGAATTAAGACTCGTGCAAAGAGAGGATAAGCTGACAGTAGCGAGTTTTAATTCCAGTGGTTCGCGATAAAACAATCGAAAGGATCGATCTGTATCCGAATAGTCTTTTCAATATAACAGCTATAAACGCAGCATCCCCTTCTGTGCTGGAAAAAAGTATATAACTCTTCAATTATTCTCCCCCAGATCCTAAATACACAAATCCTGCGTCAACTGCAGCAAAAACTCGACCAAACTTCTAATCCCAGTTCACAACCCCCCGAAACCGCAACTCCATTCCACTCGACCCAAGAAACATCATTCTATTTCCTCGTCGAGTAGTATAATTCTCGGCCAACTTATTTTCATATCCCGTTCTATTTCGCTATATCTCGATCCAACCCCTACTCGAGTTTCATCCACGATTCCCGACAAATAACTTCGAAATCTCGCACATCCCCGGACTCTTAGCCATTCTCCTTTACATTGGTATTCCAATACCAATTTCCACTCGATTCTCCCTATTCGGCGAGCCACGTTTAGCCCTCGAAATTTTTCCCATTTATAATTCCCTTCTTCGACTCGCACCCCCCCAGTCACCTCTCGGTCCTCGAAGCGTAATTTTCGACGCTGCATTTCGGGGCACCGTGGAAACCAACTCGCACCCCGTGCTCGAGGAAAAGACTCGAGCAGGAAGAGGGGGGTAAATCACTGCGATTCGCATCCCCTCAGTCACCTTTCGGTCCTCGAAGCGTAATTTTCGAGACTGCATTTCGGGGCACCGTGGAAACCAACTCGCACCCCTTCAGTCACCTCTCGGTCCTCGAAGCGTAACTTTCGGGACTGCATTTCGGGGCACCGTGGAAACCAACTCGCGCCCC